GTTTTTTGAAACAGTTGTAAAAAGTATTATCACAGATCATAAAGTTGTTTTGAGAGCAGCTCACAAATGAAACATAAAAAAAATAATGAAGCCTCATATATTACGCTGCTCTCAGATTTCCCAGGATATTACATCTTATTTGTTATAACATAAAAAATAATAATGTGAGTGTAAACAGGAAGACGTCTGCTCCTCCCTTTGTCTCTTTCCCTTTCATTGACAGAACAACACAGATCCTGTTTATGAACGGCATCATGGGAAATGCGGTTTCTGTTTTGAAGATGAATAACGTGTGTAGTGATGACAGATGATCATGTGAAGGTTCATCATCATGACTCGTGACTGGTCGAGGACCTTGCAGCAGATTCTGCGTAATCAGCACGAGATATTCAGGATATTTTTAATTAGCAAGTTTAATTGCGTCGGTCCTTTTTATAAATATTCTTAAGAGCAGCCCATTGACTGTCAAATATAAAGTTAATAATCATAATAAACTTGTATAGCACCTTTGATACAAGAAATTAAACTCAAAGTGCTGTATAGATAAAAATAAAAAAATATTTTTATCAAACTGTAACTTCTTATCATACTGAAGTATGTTGAAGTGTTCATGACCAAATGAACATGTAGAGATCTATGAATGATACAGAATCCAGGCCACTGAGCCATGAATGGAAATATATGGCTCAGTGGAGTGAGGTCTCTCTTCAACCTCCCTCAGTTCGTCCTTGTCTTTTCTTTTAATTTCCCAACAAAATTCAGTCCTCCACCTCGTCCCTGCTCCGTTACCTTGCCAGCTGTCGTTGCAGACGCAGAGCTTCTCTCCGGTCAGGTCACAGTAGCCGTGGTCCGGGCTGCCACAGTTGTCTCTGCAGTACGAGATGTCGCAGGCGTCTCCTTTCCAGTAGTCCTCGCACTCGCAGTACACTCGACCAGAGGCCAAGTTCGCTGTGCTGCATCTGCCGTGACCCGAACAGTTGTTGGGACAAGAGTTTATCCTGAGGGAAACACAATTAGACAGAATGTCCAGGAAGTTCTTCAAGGTTAAACAGAGACTGTGAGGGGACAGATATTCATTTACATACCCACATGGCTTCATTTATACTAACTGAGGTCATTGTGTGTCTCTGTGAGTGTGTGTGTGAGTGAAACTGCAAAGTGAAATCTAATTTCTCGTGAGCACAAGATAAATACATGAAATCTCCTTTCTGCTAAAGTGAGACACAAAGAAACAAAAAAAGACATGAAAACATGAGACATTAAAACCTTGGAGCCTGAATTACATCATAATCACATGATTAAATGCTGCTTCTCTGTCGTAGAGGCAGACAGGTGAAAAAAAAGAGGAGAGGAGTCAAGGACCAGAGGCAGAAAAGTCATCTCTTAGTTGAGCTGATTGGCTGATGTGACAAGATGGTCGTCATGGCAACCTTAACCTCCCTCAGCGTGTGTGTGTGTGTGTGTGTGTGTGTGTGTGTGTGATATAAAAGCCTTGAAGCCTTGTGACTGTACGAGCTGTCCTCGGTCCAGCCGACCACAAATCACTCAGTTCTTCATGGTGTCATAAAGCAGTCTGGTTTGTGTCGGAGGTGACGTCGTCTAAACTTAAACATTATTTCTACACACGAGACTCTAGAGGAAGTGAGGAAACCAGGAACGAGTCTGATGCTTTCACGATATTCAGGCACTCATCTCCCTGATGTTTCTCAAAACAAAATCGCTTCAGCTGAATAACTTGGGAGAAGTTTCACTGACCTATGTGGAAATAAAAGACAGTTTAAGTATGAAATGTTCTACAAATATGAACAAATCTTGAATTTGCCGTTGACAGATGATTATGAAATATTCATACATTTCAAAAAATATATCTTTGTTGTCGTTAGTAATATGTTTTGAACAATTTAAAGGCAATATGATTTTTAATATATGATCAAATGTGTCTTAATGCAGTAACTTAGTAGTGCACCGTGTACATCCCTGGTGTCAATGTTATTTCTGGTGAGTCTACAACATGTGAAAGGGTGAAGTAATTTCATTCGATAGAGCTGACGGACTATCAGACATACGAGTAGGTGATGGTGAAGCCGGTCAGGTTGTACGCCGCATCACTGAAGAAGTGAAGCAGAGCGTAGCCGGAGGTCGTCACCACCTCTGGCACCGTTTCATTGCCGCCGCTCTCTGGTACGACAAGACCGCTGAGAAATAGAAAGAGAGAGAGAGAGAGAGAGAGAGAGAGAAAAGAAGTCAAATACTAATAATAAAAAACATTTTAAAATGCTGGTCTGAAAGCTGAGCCCATTTCAGGAACCCTGTTAAAAAATGACGTGATTAGCATTAAAGTGGAATAACGTCGCAGAGCAGACTCGCATCTGGTTTTTTTAATGTTTTTTGATGAGGTTTTTCAGTGGGTTGGTTGGTTGGTCCATCCTGTCTATTTCTCATGAGTGCCATGCACTTTAATAAATGCAATGCAAATCTACTCTCTCCCGTAATGATGAGTCAAAACCTCCTCCCTGCCACATCTACAGCTGGTTTCCAACCAATCTATACTGAATAATGCAAGATTACTGGGAATAATAACACTCAACCAGGCTCAGCTGTGTATATTAACACCCAAGATAATCTCTTTCTTTCTTGCATTAGACCAAATTAGTCCCCTCGTATCGTGGGAGCAACTAAACCCTCAACAGGAGATAAACCTCCGTGGAGCCGAGGAGAAAGTGGGAGGTTTGCAAATCAAGGTTTATTACTGATTTCAACGAATTTGTGTCAAATGAAAGAGACGCTACCCGCGAGCTTATAGATTCTCCTGTGAGGGGGAAAAAACATATGCAATGAGGTTCCAGACAAAGAGGAGGTTTTCAGTGCTGATGTGAGTAATTGCAATATGTTCTTTCTGTTATCGTGGTTTTGTGGCACGATGGTAATTACGAGGCCCATTGTTTTCCTGCTTGCGGAGCCATTTGACAGCACGAGTGCAGATTTGTTGGTGCTTCTGAAGCTTTGCCAAAGGCCATCTGAGTCATTTCCATACTCCCCCTCCATCCCCTCAGCTCTGCTCCTGTTCAGAATAGCAGGTGCCTACCTGAAGACGGCAATCAAAGGGGCGTAAATGGAGTCTCCATCATAGACGTACATGTGGTCCCAGCTGCACTCGGTGGCAAAGTGATTGAAGCGCAGCCTGAGTGCTGCATTAGGACTGAGAGAGAACACAGAGTAGATAGACAAAAACAAAATTGATGAATATATATGGTCTGGTCACGGGATTCTCACTTTTAAGACGTGTCACTGCACTTTATGAATTCTGCGGTTATGATCATAAATTGTTTCACCAGAGCCTCAGAAAACCTTTGTGCTGCAGTGAAGTCAGAGTGGAGTGTTTCCTTCTCTTAATAGCACGTCTCACAAATACTGCAATCAGTGTTTCTACATCGCAGGCTGTGAATAAAGACGACGGCACGTCTGTACCTCGTCTCATGGGAGAAAAATAAACCCTGCTGCTTAGTAAGAGTTACATCATGTTGCTTAAAGTGCAAAACAGAGATTTGACTAGATCAGGGTGTAGAAGTACAAATACACAAATAAAAATAAAATGTAAAATGCAGTATTAGGGCCAAGTAGTAATTTAATGAGACAAAAATGATATTCTGAATAAAGAAAAATAATTTTTTAGGAATAACCAGCGTGCTTGATGTAGATCCAAAAATATTGAATATCTTTGTTTACTGTGAAAATAACTTTACAACACTACCAAACACTTTCTGCTCCTCTCCTCCTGATACTTGTGATCATGTGGAGCTGACGAGACAAAACATCAAGTATTTTGTCATTTGTGAAACTTAAATTAAAGTATAAACTAACAAGATGCTCTAGATTCTTCAATTCAACGCAGATCTTTTGCTGTTTACCATCGAAACATGACACAGAAACTCAAATTACCACTTTAATCATGAAATCTTTTTTTTTCTTTAACTGACCGTGACGCTCATATGAAAGAAGAAGAATCTCAGGCTGTGGTGCAGACTCATGTTATTACTGACAAGTGACACAAACAAAGCACAGAAGCAGAAATGCTGCAGTGCACATGTGAAGGTGATGGATGATGTGATGTGTACTTCATGTGGAGATGTTGACCTGTTGGTCGAGCATAGACTCACCAGGACCACCAGCTATTCTTCAGGCGGCATAAATATCTTCAGCGAATGTCGCAGTATTCCATCCAGTTTTTTTTTAAAGCCCTTCAGTGGTTTGTCACATCAGGCGTCATAAATTGGCCCAATCGCTCGTGAGACCGTTTGTTGTCATCTAGAAATGCTGCCAGTACTACTAAAAATATTTTTAATCATCTTTTTAAATATTTCCCTGAACCACAGCTTGTCCTTTAACGTTTCCCGGAAGATAGCGAGCATCCTCGGTCCTTCGCCCCGAAGCCAATCAAACAATCCTGAGGATGCATTAAAGAGATAACCCTCAAGTAAAGAATTTACTGTTCCCAGATGTGTGAGATAATGATGCTGCTGTTTTTCTGCTGTTGTCTGTTTGTGGCTGTCGCAGGATTGTGCACCATTCTATTCATTACATTGAGAGCAAGCAAACCACATGCAGAACTTTAAATGTAATTACTTAGCGATCAGTGTGTGCTGCTGTTCTGTGCATTCAACGTGCACAGAGCAACTGTGGAGCACAATAAGTGCACTGAGAGACAAACTCCTTCTATTTGCTCGGTATTAAAGCTCTCTTTATTCAACACCCCCGAGCAACACGAAGGGAAAAAAAGAGAAAAGGAAGATTGCTGTTTTTAACCAAGTGGAACTAAGTAAGATGAATGATGAGGGGATGAGGGGGGGAAAAACAAAACACTGATACTTACTATCCTTCTATCAGCCAAGTGCATTTGGTCTTGTATTTATAGTTCACTGGTCCGTCTGTGAGGGAACCTGACAGGTCGGTTAATCTGTAGAAAGCCACAGGAAACACAACAGAGGTTTAGTGTTGATATTTAGTGAGAATGGAAAATCAAATCGAATGTTTCAGCTCGTGAAGCCACAGAGCACGATGACAGTTGAGACATTTTCTAAATGGAGTTTGTTCTCTTTCGACCACGGCACATTTCCTCATCACAAACAAAAACACATCACTTTGCTGCAGCTCCTCTCTTCAGCCTCTGTCTCTGCTCTCTCCGCTCTGATTGGCTGCCGTCAGACGTTTAGCTGAGATGGTTTCAGGCTTTGAGATACACATTAACCAGAAGTTTTCCTTCGTTTAAAAGAGTCAAACAGAGGGAAGATGGTTTCTGTGGTCTTTCTGCATGAAAGATAAAAAGCGTAGTTACAGTCGAAGCCGCTGCTGCTGCTTCTTAAACTTTGAAACAAAGAGATCGATTCTTACATCAGAGAATCTCGGCTCCAGATCATGTGGTCGTCGAGTATTTGTGTGTTAGATTTACCAAAACTATAAGTACTATATAAGTAACTTTTACCTACATTGAATATATTGTTTATCACACAAAGCAAATGTTCCCATCATATTGTATTTACATTATTTTGCAGCATTTTTAAAGCCTGTGTCTCTTCGTAGCCCAAAAACTAACGGTCATTAACGAACACGTGTTTCATTTCAGAAATGTAAAAACATGGATTTGTTCTATTTATTGCCAAACAAAGCCAGACTAGTTTTTTATTATTTATTTAGTATTCATGATAAACTAATCAAAGCGTCAGCTGACAGATATCCAGCTTCACACCCAAAGCCTCACATGCATCAGGTGCTTGATTCAGTAGAGTTTCCCTGGTCCGGCTACTATGAAGCGTGAAACTAACTCTATTCTGCAGCACAGACGTAAGTAAATCAATATTTTACAGGTATGCTAATTCATACGTGTAGTGTATGTTCTCAGCCGGCCGGGAAAACACGTGAGTCTTGTTTGAAGGAAACGCTGGAGGTAGAATGACAATTTTCCTGTGAGCAGATAAAAACATGGCATCCCATTCATTTCCAGCTAATACAGTGAAAGTCCCAGTTGCCATAGCAATACCTACATGACATATTCATGGGGACATTGTGATGTATGTAGCAGCGACCATGTGGCCGTACGTGCATGACAACCAGCAGCTGCATCGTGTAAATAAATATATGAAAAACCCATTTATGAAAATGTGAATAAAAAAAAAAGAACGTGTTTGAATATTTGATTCTGTGGCTGTTGATGATGTCATTCTGGGCCTGAACATGCGTAACTGAGTCACATGATGTCACCTACCAAGTGAACACACACACACACACACACATCATGTGACAATGAAGACATCGCAGCCTGTCTCTGATTGAACAGTGTTACTGTGTGTGTGTGTGTGTGTGTGTCTCTCACTGTGGGCTCTGTGTTCACACTGGAATGACGCCACATCACAGAAAGAGCAGGGTGATAAATAACATGAAGCTAATTGTGAGTTCACAGATCTGTGATCGTTTGCGCTTCAATTTTCAAAAGACCAAGTTTTATGGGACTGAAGCGAAATGAAACCAGTGACACGTAAACGATAAAGTCTATGAGCTGGTTGATGTACACAACTTACATGTGCTGTTTTATTTACACACTCTGCTGCACAGCTGCTCCTCTGTGTTCGTCTGTACGGTGACAACAAGCATGACTTCGACCTCCAGGAACTAAATTAACTCCTCCCCCCCCCCCTCCCGCTGTGAGGCAGGAAATCTCCGTCCTTACACAAGTCAAAATGTAATTAATTTTCAGAAAAGAGATTTTAATTATCAGCCGTAATTTTCTAACCAGATGTTATATGATCCCGTAGAAGCCATATGTGAGTATGATGTTCACCCATAATCCTCAGGTGTAGGCGCAGCATCTCTGATTGGGGGGGCTCGCTGTCGCCATGAAATTATTTACCACAACCGCAAATATCACGTTGGCTACGATTGCATTGCTCGGCTTCACTGCTCCGCTAATACCACGCTATCTTCAGTCTGACCGAGCATCTGGATCGACTTTGAAGAAATTCCCTGCTGCTGTTCTTGAGTTGTTGTGTTCTCAGTAAATGTCACGGACAGACGGACAGAACCTGGAAACATGAAACATTAAACCCTCCAGCAGATTGTGCAGTAACAGGATTGTTTTCTCAGAATCTACCAGTGATCCTGAAAAGGGGCAAACGAGCTCAGAGAACAACATCATCATCATCATCACCACCATCCTCCGTCAGTACATGAGATTAAAGGCGTGTCGGGCCACATGTGGAGCTTCTGTAACCACAGACACAGAGGGAGGGCAAACAGATTGCGGCACAGCCGGACACGGCCGCAGTAAATCCTGCCAATGAAACACAAGCACGCACACACTCGCGCATACACAGCACATATACATTTATTCATATATGTCCACCGACACGAGATTCCTCGTTGTTCTGTCTCTTGTTTTCACTCAGTCCTTCACTTCCTCTCTCCGTCCATCGTCCTCTGCATCTATCTGTCCTCCTCCCTGCTGATCACAGTTTGATCCTCTGGCTCTAATCCCAGATTAGAAGACAAATATTCATGCCGGGCTCCAGCGATATTGATGAGTCCATGAAAAACGCTGCTCTCCCTCTTTTCTCTTGCTGCTGATGATGATATATGATATTTACAGATTTCTGGACGGATGTATTCTGTCTTCTGTCCTTTTCTGTGACTGCAGTGATGTTGTTAATGCTTCAGTTTCTAAATATTCAGTCCACATTTCACATCGTGTGAGCAATGTCATCAAGAGAATATATCAGTACATTCTTTATATATATATGTATATACTCACTGGTACTTTTACTTTTACATGAGCACGTTTTTGTCTGTTTGTTTGCACTTTTCACTTCAGTAAAATAGTTTGAGTCCTTCCTGCACCGGTGTGAAAACGTAAACATAAAGAAAATAGAGAAATGATCAGAATTTAATCTCTGCGATGCTACAACTTGTTCTGCTGTTGTTGTGCGGTGAAATGACTCAGTTGTGTAGTTAACAGCAGTAAAACATGTTCTGTGTTTGACTGAACATTGTGATGGAGGATAAAAATCTGAATTGACATAAAAAGCATGACCCTCTAACACAATCCACCAGTGTTTGCAAACTGCGGGCGTTGATGTGCTTCATTGTGCGGAACATGTAATTTTCCGCTGCGTCCACAAGAGCAGGCTTGGAGAGAACCTAGGACCATCTCTGCTCCTCTCTCTCGTTCAGTGTCTGGAGTTCTGTGCGGCGCCGGCGTGCTGATCAAATTTACCGTCTTGACTCGCAGATGCAGGCGACCTTTTCCTGGTCGCCCCTGCACCACGTGTCGCAAACTCTGCAGCAGCTGGAGGTTTGTGAGCATGAGCCATGCAAGTCCTCAAAATTAAAGTCGAAGATTCGTATGGCTACTTGAGACGGATAGCACACAGTTTTGTGAGGATACGTTCGTTGGCCAGTCTCAAGCTTCAGGTGGAAACTTGCAGCTAAACCAGTTGTGTTACGAAGACAGAAGCTCTTTGGAAAAGTCAACGCTCAACTTTTCATAAAACTGGAGAATCTGAGACGGATCCTTGTTGTGAGAAAACACTGCATTTTCCTGCAGGAAGCCCGGCCCGGTGTGACGTCTGCATTTGTCAGTCAAAGTCTTTCAGGCTTTAGGAGGTGTCGGGGCACAAGAAGCAAACAAAGGGAACTAATCATATTTGTTCTGCTGTTTATTGTGGAAGCAGCTGACAACCTACAACATGAAATCATTGAGCTGCAGAGCAACAACCTCCCTCTGCTCCACGTCTGCAAACTGTGAGGTCGTCCCGAGGATTTTCTGTTTCTGAGGAGACGACACAGAAGCTTTAATCAGTTCGAGTTCCTGACGTGAGCAGCTCTGTTCAAATCTGACTCAAGACTGACTGACCCAGACCTGGAGAAGCAGCTATTTAGAAATGTAGGTCAACAAATACAGTACAGACGAATATTAGGAGCAAGCATAAGAAAGAATATGATGAAGATATGATAATATTTTGCTCTGAGCATTAAGTTTCAATTGAAACTTTTAGAAAATATATCAAGAAACATTCATCTAATACCTTGTGTCAACAAATTGAAGAAATTGGTCTTCAGAATAAGTTTTAGTAATACTTTTAGTTTGCAGAAAACTCTCATATTCTTACATATTAATCTTCAGATTCCATTTTTCTTCCAGATACATATTTGGTTTCATGAACTTTGATCGGCTGATACCAAGTACTGATCCGATACCAGCAGAATTAGAAAAATAGCAACTTATATAACGTATTTTAACAACAACAAACCTTGTATAGTGATTGTTATCATTGTTGTATGAGCTATTGCTGGAGTTGTAATTTGCAACACTAGTTTCACCCTTGAGACTGAAGCATGCGGTACACGACGCCTTTTTAGTTGTGGAGATTCTCCAGCACGAAAGCTTTCCAAGCTGCTGACACGTTAGCTCTGGCTAACGCTACACTTAAAGACAAACAGCTCTTGCCAGTGGCTGAACGGCACAACTGCTGTTTTGTTTCTGTTTGCAAAGAAAAAGTGATTTCAGCCAAAAGAAAATTGCAGTCTTATCCGGGTGAGGTACTTTAAAGATATGTGATTGGTGCAAAGATTCACGTACTTGCCGAAGCCCGATCCGGCATTTTCTGAAATGTCAGAGGCTTTTCTGATGCAGGTGTCGGTATCGGAACATCTTTATCCTTTCAGCTTGCCTTACGGCTCTCCTGCCGGTTTTCTTGGTTAAGTGAAAAACTCTGTGAGAGTGAAAATGCAGCGAGGCTCAGTCTGTCTATGAAAACATACGGGAGGTAGATTCCATTCATACTTAATGAGGAGCCGGCTGGAGCGGCCTCCTGCAGCCCCAACAAACCTCAACGCCTCGCCCATTAAACCCCCCCAATAAAACAGCCTGGAGAGGGAGGAGAGGGTAAAACACACTTATACCTTATG